TTCTTACCCACCCACTCCGTCCAGTCCCTTTCAAACCAGAGCAACCCCTCGGGACAGAGTAGAACTGCTACCTTACATTGTCACAGGAACAGACCGCCTCATCCTCCTTCCATGGAGAAGCTGGTAGGTTTGAACTGCCGGCCTTTCTGTTAACAGCCCACCACTTAGTCCACTGTGTCACCAGGGCTACTTACTCAACTCACTGCCATCGAAACAACTGTGACTCAGAGAGATCCTGTAGGGCAGGGTAGCACTGCCCCTGTGGGCTTCTGACACTAACTCTTTAGGAGAATTGAAAACCTCCTCGTTCTCCCAGGGAGGCGCTGATGGTTTCAAACTGCCGGCCTTGCAGTGTGTAGCCTAATGCGTAAAACTACACTGTCAAGTAGTTGCAGGGCTGGTTACGTCACTTTTAAGAATGTAATGTATCATTGCTAACTGCTGTCCAGTCAGCAACCCCACAGGTGCAGAGTAGAGCTACATCATCAGCTTTTAGTTAGGAGCCAAGTGCTTAATTAACCGCTTTTGCCATCCGGAAACTACTAAAATAATAAAGCAGCCAAGTCAATTAATAAATAATTTGGGGCAACCTGGATAGTTTCTAAGAAACATTGACTACCGAAACATTGAATGCAATGCATCATTTTAGGTTTAGATGCTTGGCTTCTTTCTTTTATATGTCAAACTCAAAAAAAGTCACTCATAGTGACTCTATAGGAGAGGGTTTCAAAGACTGTCACTTCCCACAGGAGCACAAAGTATTATGTTAATGAAGGCATGCATGCATGTTGATTTCTAAAGTTGTATAAGGGAGATGTGTGACTACTGTGTTCTGTGTCTTGGTTAGTTTTTTGAGACTGCTAAAAAGCTTGAACTGATAGACAGTCCTCAATTATCCACTCCTCAGTTCTCTCAATGCAATACCAAACCCACTGCTATTGATGGAGTTGATGGCAACCCATAGCAACCCTAAGTAGGGCTTCCATGACTGTAAATCTTTATGGGCCACGGGAGAGGGAGAGATGGGGGAAACGGAGGGCTGTGCCAACAAACCCAGAGACAAGGGAAGAATAAGTGATCTTAAGATTGATGTCGAGGAGGGCACAGGATGCTTGGGGGTGGGGGGGGCGGGCGGTGCTCAATCAAGGGCAATGTAATGGAGAGGAATTACCAAAACCCAAATGAAGGCTGAACATGATAGTGGGATGGGAGGAAAGTAAAAGGAAATAGAGGAAAGAAGTGGGAGGCATAGGACCCTTATAGAGGTCTAAATACAGGCATGTATATATGTAAAAACATTCATATACAATGACAGGGGAATAGAGATACGTACCTATATTTATTTATAAAGTATTATGGTAGTAGATGGACATTGGGCCTCCACTCAAGTACTCCCTCAATGCAAGAACACTTTGTTCTACTAACACGGCACTCTGTAATGTACACCTTCCCTGACATGATCACTGAAGACAAACTAGGTACCTAAGCAGATGTGATGAAGAAAGCTGATGGTGCCCAGCTATCAAAAGATAAGCCTCTGGGGTCTTAAAGGCTTAAAGATACACAAGGAGTCATTTAACTGAAAAGCGAAAAAGCCCACATGGAAGAAAACACACCAGTCTGTGTGATCATGAGGTGTCGATGGGATCAGGTATCAGGCATCAAAGACCCAAAACAAAACAAACAAAAAGCATATCAATGGGAATGAGGGGGAGGGCAGAGTGGTGATCCAAAGCCCATCAGTAGTCAATTGGACACCCCTTGTCAGAACAGCAAAGGAAGAGAAGAGCCAGTCAGGGTGCAATATAGCACCAATGAAATACAACTTTCCTCTGGTCTTTAATGCTTTCTTCCCCCACCCCACTCCCGCCACTACCATGACCCCAGTTCTATCCTACAACTCTGGCTAGGCCAGAACATGTATAGTAGTACAGGTAAGAGCTCCCAACACAGGAAATCCAGAACAGATCACCCCCTCAGGACCAATAAGGGGAGCAGCCATACTAGGAGGTTAAGGATTGGGGTGGGGGGAGGGGTAAGGCAAAACTGATCACAATGATTGACGTATGGCCCCCATCCCAGGGGGACAAACAACAAAAAAGTGGGTGAAATGAGACAGCAGTCAGTGTAAGACATGGATAAAAGAATAATTTATAAAATATCAAGGGGGCATGGGGTAGGGAGGGGGGTGTGGGGGCAATGAGGAGCTGACGCCAGGGGCTCAAGCAGAAAGGAAATGTTTTGAAACCGATGATGACAGCATGTGTGTAGAGGTGTTTGACACAATAGATATATGTAGGGATTGTGACAAGAGCTTTAAGAGCCCCCAATAAAATGATGTGTTAAAAAATCCTTATGGGCACAGAAAACCCCACGTTTCTCCCACAGAGTAACAGGTAGGTTTGAACGGCTGACCTTGCAGTTAGCAGCCCAATGTGTAACCACTACACCACCAAGGCCTAGCTAACAGAGTCCAGTTATTCTAGCTAAATGTTCTCATCGTTTTGGATACTCGACCCTGCACTAGGAATGGCGGGGACAGAGAAATGCTGCTGTGTTTAGGACATGCGATGAGGTTTTCTTGGCTTTTGTCTTGCTTTTCAAGGGATAAGGGGCTTTGTTTTGTTTCAAGGTCTCCGGTTGTTCCAAAATGTGAAAGGGAATAACATGGGTGTCAAGAAGTCACCTGGATGTATAGCTATCACGGGAGAAACGTTTGAGGCCGGAGGTGCGCCTGGCTCAAGTCTGGATATCTTCAATCGCCTGTGCGGATGTGAAAGCGAGACAATGATTGGGAAGACTGGGGAGGGCCTGATACGTCTGAATTGCAGTGTTGGCCAAGGAGACTGGAAGTATCCTGGAATCCAGCAGAACAAACAAATCCGCCTTGTAGAGAAGTACAGCCAGAGTGCTCCTTAGAAGCAAGGAGAGTGAGCCTTCGTCTCAGGCGCTTTGGGCACATTCTTAGGAAAGACCAAGCAAAGAAAACAAAAAACAAGCAAACTCACTACCATTGAGTTGATTTTGACTTGTCGCGGTTCTGTCAGGCAGGGTAGAACTGCCCCTGTGGGTTTCCAAGACTGTCACTCTTTGTGGAAGTAGGAAGCCTCGTCTTTCTCCCAGGGAGCAGCTCATGGTTTCAAACTGCTGGCGTTGCGGTTAGCTGACCAATTTATAACCCACTACGCCACCAGATTAAGGAAACACAAATTAAGATTACAATGAGACCCCTCTTCACACCTATGAGGGTAGCAACAAACAATGGAAAATAACAAGCATTGCTGAGGACATGAAGACATTAGAACCCTTGCACATTAAAGGCTGCAGCTGCTGGGGGGAAGTTGAGTGATTCCTAAAGGTGTTTAATATAAAATGACCATCTGATCCAGCAGTTCCCATCTGAAATACAAACCCAAAAGGACTGAAAACAAGGATTAATACAGATACTCGGACAGGAATGATCATAGCAACAATATTCATGGTCAGAAACTGGAAAAACCCACATGTTCACCAACTGATCTCTGGATAAACAAATTGCTGTATCTACATACAGTGGAACATTATTCAACCACAAGAAGGAAGGGAGTTCGGACGCCTCCTTCCGTGTGGATGACAGCGTTCTGAGAAGGGCAAAAAAGCCAGACCCCCACAGGGAAAATCTTTACATCTCTTATGATCCCACGTATCTGAGAGATCTGGAATAGACAAGTGTGTGGAGCCAGAAAGTTGATTAGAAGTTACCAGAAGCAAGGGGAAGGGACGGCTGGGGAGTGGTTGTAGAGTTTCTGTTTGAGCTGCTGATACAATTTTGAAAACAGGAAGCCTGGGCGGGTAGTGGGTTGCCAGTTGGGGCTGCTCACCACAAGGTCAGCAGTTTGAAACCACCAGCTGCTCTGTGGGAGAAAGAGGAGGCTTTCTACTCCCATAAAGAGTGAGTCTCAGAAACCCACAGGGCAGGTCCACCCTATCCTAGTGACCCTCTAGGACAGGGTAGAACTGCCCCTGTGAGTTTCCGAGACTGTCACTTTTCAAGGGAGCAGAAAGTCCCGTCCTTCTCCTGAGAAGTGGCTCGTTTGGTGGCATTAGCTATGTGCATCGTGTTGTTCAGAAGCCCTGGTGGCACAGGGTTAAACGCTGTGCTACCATTTTTCCATCACTCGCTTTAGTGGGAAATAGTTCGGTTTTCCTTCTTTGACAAGTTTCCACCTTACACAGGTTCCACCTCGGGCAGGTTTTGCTGTACTGGGCAGTGGGGATTTCAAAGGCTGAATTCAGTCACCTTCTCCTAACACTTCTTTGTCCACATCACACATAGACATCAGGACTGCGCTAAGACCCTTTGAACCGGTCTTACGGGTTCCATCATTCAATTAATTAATTAACGCTTAATAGCTTTTTGGTTCATGCTCACATCATCTTTACTTGAGAGTCATTATTTTACCTTTTGGAAAATTGCCTGTTAACAGTAGTTACTCGCACCTGGTTGTGGATGTAAAGGGGGGGCGGGGGGGTGGGGCTGGTGCGAGCGACAGACCATGAGAAGGGGGCAGACAAAGTCTGGAGCCGGGAGCAACAGCAGAAGGAGGCAGCTGGCCCACGAGACTTGGGCGCCCATGAGAAGTGAGAAGGGATGCCGAAGAAACCGGGCTTGGTGCTTTAGTGAAGCTGATAGCTATTGACATAATTTGAGTTCCAGCGTTCTGACTCCTGCCCCGAGATAAACTTTTTTGCTCCACGGGCCTGGAATTGTATGAATAGCGAGTGACTTTGTACATTGAAACACCATCCCCTTGTTAAACTGCAAATGTTTCTGGCAGGAGAGAGCGCAGAAAGCCTTGTCAGTCATTCACATGTTAGTCTAAACAAGTCGCTGGCCTTGTCAGAGGGCAGCTTATGGACAAGAGAGAGGCAAAGGCTGCCTTCCTGGACTAGGCAGGCTCCAAAGGCTGCATGCATGACAGGGACACAGGGAGCAGATGGGGGGGGGGGCCCAGGCTCACCGCCACGTCGTCTCGGGTAACAAAGCCCCTCTCCTTGGCACCGCAGTTCTGGAAGAAGTCCTGCAGTTCGGCTGTGGCTTGGAGAGACCAGGACTCTGGCTTGGGGGCCCCTGGCGCATCCTGGTCATCAGCTGGCTCTTGTGTCTGCCGCCGGCGACTGGAGGCCAGCTTGCGGCCCTTCCGGGACACCCTCTGTCCAGTCTCCATGGTGCTGTGACCCTGAGGACAGAGAAGAGGTGAGGTAGTGCTGGGCCACTGACCACAGTCACTCCCTGCTTAAAATGCTCCATCGCGCCCCACAAGCCCTGAACAGGTAAGAGCAGGCCAATCATCCCTCTCCAACCTGTGCCCTCCTCAACCACTGCCCCCCACTCAGGGCCTGCCCTCTCTATTCCTTTTGCCCGACATGCTCGTCCCTGCACTGCCCACACAATGCATGTCCTCACCTCCTCCAGGACGCCCCCAAATGCCCCAGCCTTCTCTGATCGCTAAGTAAAGCAGCCCCCAGCGGGGGAGGTTCTGTGCCTCGAGGCCCCTCCGACAGCACCTGGGCGGCATCAAGAGGACAGCAAGGGTCTGGGCTTCCTTCCTCCTTCACCTCCCTGCCACCACGTGTTCTCCTCAGCGTTTCCCGACTCCTCCAGCACAGGTACCAGGGCATCAGCGCAGAAGGGCTGCTCCCAGTGCCCAGAAGGCTCCCCTCCATCACCCCAGTGTTGGCGCCACAGGGAACCAACCACATTTCAAATGTCGAGTTCCCTCCCACCCTTTGTCCCAAACCTCCCCAACTCCTTCGTTCTCTTACCTATTTAGTGCCTTACGCCTCACCTGAGAGGCCGCATTCTCCCAGAGGCCTCCCTGAAAGCCATCCCAACACTTCAAGCTGGGTTCAGGACCCCATGCCTGGGCCCTGGCGACCTCTGTGGATGTCACGGTCCCCCTGGGTCCATATTCCTGAGCAGAGACTAGGTGCTCAGGAAAAGCAGATCAGGCCCCTTCACCTGTTTCTGAAGGTCTTGGGGAGTGGCAGGGCGATTGATAGAGATTCCGATGCCTAAGGATTGGTGCGGCGAAAGCCCAGGGGAGGGTCTGGAGGGAGAAACAAATTTCACACGTGGAAAGCTGTGAGGGGCTGAGGTGGGAGGGACCCGGTGGCCAGGGCAGGCTTTCCCAGGAAAGCATCTTGATCCAAGCTCTGAAGAAGATGGGCTAAAAGCATGAGCAATACGTGTGGAGGGGCTGAGGCAGCAGAGTGGGGCCTATGCCCAGAAGAGGAAGGAGATGCCCAGCTCAAAGCTTGCTGAGCCAAAGGCCACAGACAAGCTGAGCAGGAGCACCGCTCTTTCCAAGGGGGATGACCGCTGGTCCAACCTTCCCTTGAGCAAGATCCCTCCTGCAGGTTTCGCAGGACTCGGATGGGGCAATCCCTCACCCTGGGGAGGCGCAATACTTGAAAGTGAAGTAGAATGTCTCTCTGAGTCTGTTTTGTCATCCTGCTTCTCAATCTCTCTGTCTCTCTCTGTCTTAGAGAGAGAGCTTTAACGTTTGTTTCAGACACAGTTTAAAGACCACGGCTGTAAAACTACAGTGCCTGGAGCCTGGTCTTGGAGCTTGTAAGAGTCCATTGAGTCTCCTCCCAACTTAGTGGCTTGAAGCCACACGGTGGGAGTATTTACACCAGGCGAATGGGCAAATGCTACAAACCAAGGCTTTCTCCTAGTTCAGAATCAGCCCTTAAAGGGTGACCCAACACACCTCTCTGAGACGCTTTCCATCTGCTCAGACCCTTTCCAAGCTCTACCTCACACTAATGAACAAGCACTTAAAATGAATTAGGGAAACCACCCCTCCCCCTGGCAGACACACCGCCCCATGCCAGGGAGCCCAGTTTGGTGAGTGGTATGTGGACCGCATCTACCAGCCCACCCAAGCAGAGGACCTGGCCCTGCAGACACAGGTGGGGCTAGCCCCTGGTCTCCGTGGATGGCACGCACAGCCTCATTCAGAAGACATGGAAATAATTGCAGTAAAGCCGAGTGGGGCACCAGGCTTGTGCGTCTACTGCCCAAGGCACAGAACCAGGAGCTCACCTGCCAGGGGCTATCACAGAGGGCTTCCTGGAGGAGGTGACATTTAACAGTGAGCTCAGAGCGGGCAGGCAGGAATCATATTTGACCCGGGGTCCTTCATGGTGCCTTGCCCTGGTCAGGGTACTAGGGCCCTCAGATACTTAGACATTCCTCCCTTCGCTCACCTCCTGAAACATGGGGTGTTCTACCAGACAACGGGATACACTCCTTACTAGTGTCAATGTCATGCAAGAAGAAACATGGCAGGGAGGGCCTTTAAAATATTCACGAGACTACCTCTAGAGAAATAACACCTGCAGACAACATGGACATGTCATTGGATGGTCTTCAGCCACGGGGTACTTCTGGAACAATATAGGACATCTAAGGGGTGTGGGCTGTGTAGGAGACAGTGTTGAGGAAATGTCTTAGGTGGGATCAGGTCTACGGACGTGTAAGGGAATGCCCTTATCTTGAAGGGCGATGCCGCTTCGTTAGGAGGAGGAGAATATATGGTGTCTTTTAAATAGTCCCACAGAGGCAAACAAGTGAGAGATTGCATACGAGTGTGCAAGTGTATGTGTGTGTGGTGAGTGTGTGTGTGTGTGTGTGTGTGTGTGTGTGTGTAAAGGGAAAACGCAAACCAGGCAAAACATTAGCCATCACTACAATAGCATCATTGAAATGTTGTTTCAATCTTTTTATAGGTCCAAAAGTTCTCTTAATAAAAAATCAACATGGAAAAATGCCAAGAATGGAATTCCGGGAGTTAAAATAGGGAAGTATCTACTCTAGTCTAACTGCCCTTCCCCCCCAATACCTCATACTCACCCCCTTGCCCCATGGAAACAATGATCCTCCTTGGGCCACGTTGTTCACACCCTGAAGGCCACCATCCAGCCCCACCCACCGTCTGTCTCGGAGGGAACCCCGTCCCTCCATGACCCTCTTCCTCCATGCCCTCCGGTGGCTGGTATTGCTGGACTGGAGGCCAGGGGCCCTGTGCACCGTCAAGGGGAGCACCACGGAGAGTTGCTGAAAATAGTGGGTCAGACTACAGGCGAGGAGACCGAGGCCCCAAAGAGGAAATGACGTCAAGTCACGGCACTCTGGAGCCAGAATGCCTCCGGAACCCTGCGGCTCAACAGCTGTGGGCCAGTCTCTGGACACCTCTGTGCTTCCATTCCTCCCTGGGGCGGGGCACTAAGTCCCCCACCCCCCCACAGCTGTCCAGAGGATGAGATCAGATGGCCCCGTGAGAGCCCCACCCACTGCCTTTTAAAATCGAATCTTTTCTTGGCACCGGTCACCATCCCAGAATAGAATTTTTCACTCATTAATTGTTCAACTTTCTCCTCTTTTCTTGCTGGAATATGTGCCTCATGGGAGTAGGGACATATCCCAAATACCTAGAAGGGTGCCTGGGGCACAGTAGAGGGTCCCTAACTACTGGGTGAATATCGACCGCACAGGAGCCCAGGTGGTAGTGGTTGTCAGTTGGGCTGCGATCCACAAGGTCCATGGTACAAAACCACCAGCCACACCTTGGGAGAAAGACGGGGCTTTGTACTCCATTAAACAATTACAGTCTCAGAACCCACAGGGGGTCGTTATGAGTCAGCATCAACTCAATGGCAGTGTGTTTGGTTTGGGGTTTACATAATGCATTTAAAGCATTGTGCCCCTGCCCAGCCTACAGCGATTGCTGGGTAAAGTTGTGAATGGGGGTGACATTCTTTGTCATAACTGAGTGTTCTTCCGGTTCAACGTACCCCTCCCCTGACAGAGGAACTAGGGGACCCTCAGAGGCGGAATGACCAACTGGAGCCGAGACATCAGCAGCAATACTGGCGCTCGATCCTGCCCTCCCTACAAGCCGTGGAACAGGCTTCCCCAGCAACCTCTCAGTGGGCAGAAGGTCCCTTTGTGGATCACCGATGCGCAGGCTGTGAGGGGACAAGGGATTGGGAGCAGGGCAGAAGTGGGTAGCTCTGCCCAGTGGGGTGAGACCCAGTCGTGGTTGCAAAGAGCAGTTTTGTGTGTACTTCCGGCCAGGGAGATAACACGAGGCAACAAGATAAGGCTCTGGGTATGGAAGTTTCCAGAACAGGAGCTCGGCAGTGGCGGCGGGGGGGAGGGGAGGGGAAGCGATGGGGGGGGAGGCTAGGGGAAGACCCAGGCCACTGTGATGTGGGCGCCATGCTGCTGAGCGTGTGGCTGAGTGGGGGCCTCAGGATCCTGAAGTCATTTCCCTATGGGCTTGTCCCGGGCATGGGGCTACTCCTGTTTTTTCTTTTGAATTCTACTGTCCTTGAGAAAACAGTAAAACACCCACCTAATCACCAGTTCCTGCGTGTCCATCCAGCAGACACTGGTCACAGCCTTCGGGTCTGGTGCCTGGCCCACGCCCCCTTTTCTGAGTTGCCCCCTCCACCAGCGGAAGCTCACTGCCCACCGAGACTCCTGTCTCGTCGGCAGGTTGCTGCTGCCAGTTTGATCCCAGACCCTTCGTTCTTAAAAGCACACAATATTCAAGACAGACCTTCATACTAATTATGTTAAACCAGCGGTTCTCACCTTCCTAATGCCTCAACCCTTTCATACAGTTCCTCATGACCCCCCCAACCATAAAATTATTTTTGTTGCTACTTCAGTCATTTTGCTACTGTTATGAATCGGGCGACCCCTGTGAAGGGTCATTTGACACACACACCCCCCCAAAGGGGTCGAGACCCACAGGCTGAGAACCACTGTGTACTTTGGTTTCAGGTTTAAAGGTGACCTCAGGGCATTAGTTTCAGGGACCCATCCACATTTCATCCCTCCGGGAAGTCTGGGATCCACGGGCCACTGGTCATAGCTCTTGAGAGAAGTTCCTAGCAGAGCTGTCCCTCTACCGTCCCTTCCCAGAAGCCCTCTGGCGTTTTATATCAATGCCGCACTTTCTGGACGCCGCACGCAGGCCCACCTTCGCCACCGTGGGCCCTCTGGCACCAGCACTCCCTGCCTGTCAGTCCTTCTCTCCCAGGGGGATGCTTCAGCCACCACCCCCGCCCCCCTCGCTCACCTGGCAGGAAGACCTGAAGCCTCCCAGAGGAAATGGGTACCCTCCAGTACCCTCCAGTAGCCTCTAGTACC